ACGGGATCCTCTTGTATTTTGCATGTCATAGTGCCCGGATGGCTTATGGGTCGATACGCTTTGATTTCTTAATCATTTGGATGGCTTTATTTTCACCTTGATGGCTTTCAGATGATTTGCTCTATTCCCACCGGATGAACACCATTCACACACGGTGGTGGCCACACCGTGTAGAGTAGGCATTTTCTTTTCCTATTTTCTTTTTCTTTTGTTGTTTCTTGTGTGTGTTTTTGTTTGTCTTTACGTCGTTTGTTTGATATTTGTGTCTCGTTTTCGTTTTCATAGCATGAACTTACATGATTATGTGCTTTCTCCTATGCTTTTTGGTCAAGCAATGAGGACATGGCTTTGTTTTAAGTGTGGGGGAGGGATTTCGTGATTATGCATGTTTAGGTGATATCTTCTTCATTTTTTGGTGCTTTATTTTTTCATTTTTGTTGAGTCGTGGACCGGTTTTGTTTGTTTTTATTGTATTCTGTGTCGATTTCCTCATATGAGACTTCATGTGAGTCCAATAGTGCAAATGACTAAGTGGCTAGTTTGGATTGTCGATCGTTTTTATTATTAACTCTAATGCCTTATGTGCTCAATGATTTTGACGGTTTTCATAAAATGAGATGATTATTTGTTGGCATTCGAACTCATATGTGGATTCACGAAACTTTATTGTCCTTTGTTCGTTCTTGATTGATGATCTTGGTCATGCTTGCCTTGTGCTTGATGAGGTGTAAACGTGTTATGCTATACACTTGAGTTATGTCTTTATTGGATTGTTATGACTATATTATTGTATGTGATGTACTCTTGTGCGCCATCCCCTTAAAAAAAATTAAATGAAATTTGAGTTCGCGAGGAAGTACGGATTAGGCTCCTCTTATTCCGAGCCACTTCGTGGATTGGGATAATGAGTTCGGGAAACCAGTTTAGGGAACTCGAGAAAACACCTCGAGGTTAAACCTAGATCATCTCATCCGAAAACTTCGTTTTGTAAAGAGAAGCTCACGGAAATGAGTTCGTGAGAGTCGAAAGTATTAGGCTCCTCTTGGCTCGGTTAGTCTTCTAGATAAACCGTGTTAAGGAGTACGGGAAACCTGCCTAGGAAACTCGGGGATAACCCCCGAGGATAAACCTAGGTAATAATTTCTTAACGGCTCTCATTTGGAAAAAGTAACTCATATATATATAAAAAAAAAAGAAAAGAAAATAGGGAATTGGCTCATGGTCTCGTTTTTATCATCTTGCATATTGAGTTGACCATTTTTATTTTTTTGCACGTGTTTGTTGTGAAAAGGGAGCTTGACTTGAGTGAATCATGATTGAATAACTTGGGCTTGTTTTTGTTTTGTTGAGCTCATATGTGGGAACCGTACCCTCGGATTTGAGTTGAGTTTTGTGAATAACCGGATGATAATGAGAGTTACATGATGCATGTTTGTTAATCTTGGACCGTTCGATTTCTCCTTTCGAACTACTTGTTATTTTGTTTGCTTGAGGACAAGCAAAGAGTTAAGTGTGTGGGAGTTGTTTATTGTGTATTTTTCGTTATTTTCATGTGTTTTGTGTGCTTTATTATATAGTTTTAGGCTCGTTTTAGTATCGATCGGTCTATTTTATCGTGTTTTGTGTATTTTTCTTATTGTATAGTGTTTTCGTATTTTTGCGCGTTTTCTCTTTTGTTTTGGTGTTGAATAGGTCCCAACGTGTCGAGAACGAGGAGAGAGCCGTCCGACCCGAAAATTCCGACCAAGCCATACCGGGACGAAGAGAATTCAATGAGAAGAATTTTGGTCCAAGTTTCGTGCGAATCGGAGTTGTGTGCGGAACGTTAGAGTTAAACGAAGTCGCACATGCCCGCACGCCACTGCAGCCCAGTGCCCGCGAATTCTGTTTCGCGCCCACGAAAGGAAGCTAACCCGCGAGTTCATCCATGCTGTTGCCCGCGAGTTCTGGAGCTCGCGCCGGCGAAACGACTCTATCCCGCGAGTTCCCTGCTTGTGCACGCGTATCCTGCGAGTTCAGTGATCCGCGCCCGCGAATAAGGTGGAAGACGCACTTCCCTCTTGAATTGCTGCCCCGGGGAATTGGAGTCCAAAGTACTCCTCGAGCCCCCTTTCCTTTTCCTGAGCTTTCCATTCCCAGCAAAAACCCTTCCAACCCGCGAGTGCCTCGCCTTGTTCTAGCGCCCGCGCACGCGAAATGCCCGGCAAGCTCGCGAGTGTCCCTTGCAGCGCGCCCGAGGCGCGAGTCTCATGCCCGCGTGCGCGCGAGACTTTCCACGAGCTCGAGAGTGCGCCTGCTGCACCCGCGCCTTGTGCCCAACTGGCAACCCAGCGGAATTTTGGCGAGCTCGAGAGTGTTTTACTTAATGTGAGTGTTTTTAGTGTGTGTTTGTGGTGTAGCTATAAAAAGACCTTGTGCTTTGTAATTTTGGACAATAACCCTCATTTCCCAACTTTTAAGTTGGGAAAATCCTCTCTATTTCCTTTTTCTCTTTTTTATGTTTTGGTTTGGAGCTTATGAATCAAGTTTTCCGGCGAATTTCTGGCGACATTATTTCGAGTAAAGTTTCGAGCTTTTGACTCCGTTTATCCTTCCAAGTGCGTGTAAGAGTGGGTACTTAGTCTTAAGCCTCATTACTTCGTATATCTTTGTTTGCTTTTGTGAAAATTGATATTGTGCTTGTGTTGCTTGGAGGAAAAGATTGAATCTTTAGATTTTCTTGACTAAGTGTGATTAGGAGTTAAATGCTTGCTCGTCTTGTGCTAGAGTTTGGTTTAGCTTACTAGTATTTTAGCTAGCATGGCAATGTTCGGTTATTTGTGTGTGTTTGATCGTGGAGACTCCGGCTAACCAAAATCTCTCTTTCCCCTTGATTTCTCTCATCTTCTTGCGTGCTTTCTCATGCTTTGTTGATTGCTTTCAATTGCCCTCAATTTCGTAGATTGGTTTAGCTTAAATTCATCCCTTCAAGCGAGTAGCTTGTTTAGGACCTTTTCGGTTGTGAGATTTGGCGATTAGATAGTGAACGAAGCTCCGAAGAGCCTTCCTTTGAGAACAACTTGAGTCCGGGTAACTCGGTTACCAATTGCCCAAAAATACTACAAACAGTTGGCGATCACCACCGGACTCGAGGTCCGGCGGAACCCCGACCCGACATTCTCCACCACCTTAAATACGTTGTAATCCTCCACCACCTGCCCGAACACCACGTGCTTGTCGTCAAGCCACTTCGTCTTTGTCGTGCAGATGAAGAATTGAGTGTCATTTTTCCCCGGCCCGACATTCGTCATCGTCATGTCCCAATGTGCTTTCTCACAATGTTTTTGTCGCCGAACTTGGCGTCGTGGATCGACTCGCCGCCATCGCCGTTACCCGCAGTGAAGTCGCCGCTCTGGCAAATGAAATCGGGGATTACACGGTGGAAGGATGACACTTTGTGGTGGAGGGACTTGCCAGATTTCTCAACACCTTCTCACCAGTGCATAGGGAGCAGAAGTTCTCGACGGTCCGCGGGACGACGTCGGCAAAAATCCTAAGATTCGATAGTTGATTTTGAATTTCTTATATAGGGGCTTTTTGTGATTTTTTTTTTATTTGAGACTAACTATTTTATTTTATTTTTTTGGTCTCAATCTTAGGGTCTTGTGATTGGGTGGGGAGGGGTTTATATAAGGGGTCGATTGAGTGCAAACTTTAAAAAGATGGATTCTTTCTAAACTTTAAAAAGATTTTTTGGTTAGATAAGTACGGAGAAAAAATATTTACCAAGAATTAACATAATATGAGATCCTTTCCAAACTTTAAAAAGATTTTTTAGTTAAATAAATATCGACAAAAAAAATATTCATATATAGAGATTGACCCGGATTTTCAAATATTTTTTTATACATAAATCAACTTGTGCTTTGGGTGGGAATTTATGATTTTTTTTATATATATAAATCCTTCATCAGTAAAATAAAAATTTTAGGCGGTATTTTATATACTATTCACAACTGAATGTTTTGCCTTTTTAAATATTCATAGATATATATACTTAGGTCAAGAATTTTTGTAAATTAGTAATTTCTTATATTATATGATTATATGACAAAAAATAAGTTTTTTTAATCAAATAAGTTATATATTATTTCAATTAAAGAATATTAACCGCCAAAAAATAGAAAAGAAGTTAGGATTTAGGTCATAAAAAATATAATTTATTATTTTTAAGAAAAAATAAAATAAATAAATTTACACACAAAATTCATAGATATATATAATTTGTGGAAGGTTGGAGTTTATCAATGTTTAGTATAACATCCATTATTCTCGAAATAATTTTTTTTTATTTGCAATTTTAATTTTATTGGAAAAAAAATTCATAATTGTTGGGAAATCTCAATTCAAAATAAATTTTTTTTTGGCATAAGAATCTTTAAATTCATTAGAAATAAAAATGGGGTTTGTATTGAAGAAATGAATTAAATTTTGGCATAAGGATCTCTAAATTTGTTACATTAAGAATCTCAATTTTTTGGGATATCTCATTAAATTTTATTCCTAAAGAAATAAGTCGTTTCAATCAAATAAGTCATATATTATTTTAATTAAAGAATATAAACCATCAAAAAATAGAAAAGAAGTTAGAATTTAGGTCATAATTAAATAATATAATTTATTATTATTTAAGAAAAACAAAACATATATTTTTACACGCAAAATTCAAAATTATAAATAATTTATGGAGGACTAGAGTTTATCAATATTTAGTATAACATCTATTATTCACGAAATAATTTTTTGTTTGATTTGCAACATTGATTTGAATGGGAAAAAAAAAATCTGTAATTGTTGGGATATCTCAATTAAAAATCTCAAATTTTTGGCATAAAAATCTCCAAATTTGTTACCAATAAAAATGAGATTCATATTTATGAATTAAATAAATTTTGGCATAAGAATCTCCAAATTAGTTACCTTAATGATCTCTAATTTTTTTGGGATATTTCATTAATTTTGATTCCTAAAAAAGTTAAGTTGTTTCAATCAAATAATTCATATATTATTTCAACTAAAAAATATAAACCACCAAAAAATAGAAAGTAAATCAATATATTTAAACACAAAAGTAAAAAACATAAATAATTTATGGAGGATTGGAGTTTATCTATATTTAGCATAACATCCATTATTCTTGGAACAAATTTTTGTTTGATTTGCAACATTAATTTGAATGGAAAAAAGTCCGTAATTGTTGGGATATCTCAATTCAAAATCTCAATTTTTTGGCATAAAAACCTTCAAATTTGTTACCAATAAAAATGAGATTCGTATTTATGAAATGAATTATATTTTGGCATAACAATCTCCAAATTGTTACCTTTAAGAATCTCCAATTTTTTTGGGATATCTCCTTTAAATTTGATTCCTAGAGATTTACATATGTTTTTTCAAAATTTCCAGTAATAGTAAGTCAACACTTTATTTTTTAAGTCAAAGTTACTATTTTTGTATTTTTCCAACAATCTCTTTATATTACTACTAGTACAGAGCCCGTGCGATGCACGGGGGATAATTATCTCTGTCCTTTTTAAAAAGCAAATATTAGTTACAATTCAAAGTACTTACTAACAGAAATATCATGTCATTAATAATATTGTTGGGAAAAACTAATCTATATATTATTGAAGACTTCCTTATATACAACGTTCATGGTTTGATTCTTTGGCACGTCATCATCGCCACAAATTAAGATTTTCAAACCGTTTCTGTTAGTGACACGGGAGACAGCAACATACAACTGGCCATGACTAAAAACCGGTTTCTTAAGAAATAAGCCAACATGAGATAATGATTGTCCCTGACTCTTATTTATAGTCATGACGTAAGAGACCATAATGAGAAACTGACGACGCTGGAACTTGAAAGGAATTCTAATATCAGATGGATTTATAACCATTCTTGGAATCAACACTTTATCACCTGCGTGATCGCCAGTGAGTATCTTACACTCGAGAACATGAGTGGAGAGCTTCGTCACTACCAATCGTGTTCCATTACACAGACCCATAGAATGGTCCATATTCCGCAACAGCATGACCGGAGTTCCAATCTTCAAGAACAACTCATGATTCGGTATTCCAGAACACTTGATACTATTCAAAAACTCGGGCGTATGCAGATCAGGCAAAAAATCATTATTAGAATCTGATTTGCACGTACTATCCGAGCTCAAGTACGTACGAACATCCGACAAATTCAAAGATGTCATGTACTCATTTATAGAATCGACAACATCTAAAGTAGGCGCTAATATAGCCCTATCCTTCATATAACTTGGATCGTCGGTGGCCTCCTTAAACATTGGATACGTGCTTTCAACGATTTGAGCAACGGGATCATCAGATGGCTCTAGCAAAATGTCCTCGGGTATGTCAATCATTGCACAACCATCGTTTGACCCCCCCTATAGTGCCATCTCCAATGCTAGCTATTCAATCCGCAAACCGAGAGAGCTCATCACGTTCATTCAAATCTTGAAGTCCGCGGAGACGCATGTTTTTAGTAAGCCTTAACACAATACAACTTCTCCATATTTCAGAAACATTTATGGTAGCATTAACTATGTCTTGACGGCTGCCCTTCGGAATGACCGGAAGGATTTGTCGGAAATCTCCACCAAAAACAACAGTCTTCCCGCCAAAAGGTTTTTCCTTGTTTGACGGGTCAATTACTCCCATAATACCCTGCAGAGACTTCTGTACGGCTTCGAAGCAGTGTTTGTGCATCATTGGAGCCTCATCCCATATTATAAGAGAAGCACGAATTATCAATTCCGCCAGAGGGCTCGACTGATTGATATCGCAAGTAGATTCCTGGTGTGGATTCAACGGTATAGCAAATCGAGAATGCGCCGTTTGTCCACCTGGGAGCAAAAGAGATGCTATTCCGCTAGATGTGACACATAAGACTATGTTACCCTTGGATCTCAAACCAGCAGATAAGGTCCTCAACAGATAAGTCTTCCCAGTTCCACCATAACCGTATACAAAAAACACACCACCTTGGCCTGATTGAACGGTAGACATAATTCTGGCGTAGACACTCTTCTGTTCATCTGTCATGTTTTGAAGAAGCGTATCATGTTCAACGGCGAGGGCCTTTCGATCATCATTCAACTCATCTAATATCAGACGATTCGAAGTTGAATGCATGCTGTCCCTATCCGGAAATGGCATAGGCTCATATTCTCGAAAACTTGTACCACGACGTCTCAACAAAGTCTCAATCTCAGCAAGGGCAAGATTTTGAATTTGTTCCTCAGTAAGGATCAAATCTATAAATAAAAATATGAACGAAGATCAACACTATTTAAATCTTAATAAAAAATTGTATATAACCTTCAAAATCATTCATTAAGAATATAGGTATGAATATATGAAAATTATGAGTACCTTGGTTATTGAACAATCTACGTTGTCTGTACAGTATGTCGTCAGACATACATTGCCAACACTTATTCCACACGTCATCTGGTCTGCCAAATGAACCG